AAACATCAATCCAGAGATCATTTCTTTCCTGAAGGCCTCTGTCAGAGAAACGGAGGCCAGGGGCAACATGCACAAGCAGCTGCAAGGCAACTCAGGTGACAGGGTGTGCAAGGCCCAGCTGCAACTGCCCAAAGGTAAGCAGCTCCATCCCCCCATCCCCACCTTAGTTTGATTTTTGTCTGTGCACCTCGCCCCACCCAACCAGGTGCATCAGAGTGGGTGGGGTCTTAACTAGAGGTTGTTTTGGGAGCATGTGTAAAAATCAAGCTAGGGCTTATTTTCTGAATAGGGCTTATTTTCTGAAAACATGGTAGGTCCAAATAGAAATATGCATTATTTCCATAGCAAGGAAGATAAAGCAGGAGTAGTTAAAGGGATTATTTTATTCAAAAAGGAAAATATGTTTTTATTTGGATATCACTTCTGGAATTTGTACTTGTGAAGAAAAAAAAGATGAAACTTTGACTTTGGTTTTGTTGATTAGAAGGATTTGGTATTATAGGAATGGCTAGTTATATATTAATGTGTAAAAGCAAACAGCTGAGGTTGGAGTGTGTTTATCTTGTAGTGTGCTATGAAGAGTTGGAAGTCAATGCCCCTTTTCTTCCTTTTTCTCTTTCCCCCGTGTCTCACACCCCCTTTCCCCCGCTCCCTTGCATCTCTTAATTTCCTATTTTTTTCTTCTCTTCCTTGTATTTTATATAATAAAATAAAACCTTAATAATAAAAAAGACTGCAGAAGTACAATATAACTCTTATTTAGAAGTATTAACATGGGGTAAATTCAGAATAGGAGTTGAATGAAAAAGAAAGAAAAATCCAGTGAAGACAATTTCAGTAGCCCGTCCTGTTTGGTTATGGCAAGGAATATAATAATTCCTTGTTTATGTTTATACCTTGTTTATGTTTATACCTTGTCAATCTGAAGAAGATAGTAATCAATGAAATCTTGTGGCTCATGCAGAGCGCTGGATTTCTTGTGCTTTTCTATTTCCTGCTTTGCAAAGGAAGTGATCACCTCTAGGGAAGCCAAGGCCTCCTTGTGAAGGCCTGGGAGGTAGCTCATTAATCGTGGGAACAAAACAAACAACTAATAGAAATGGAAAAGGAAAAGATTATTTATTTCTCCACTACAACTAAAGAAGACTCTAAGCAGCTCACAGTAATAGACCACACTTAATAAACAAAGAAAAACATTGCAAGCACATTAAAACATGGCACCATACATGGTGGCAGATCTCACAAATCTTCTAGAAAAGCCGTTCCCGAATTCTTGTAGAAAAGAATGATAAAGGCAGATTGATTATTATAAAGCTATTATAAATTTCTCTTATTTTCTCATTGTCTCCAAGAGACTTTGTAAATATGGTTATCCTTGGCTAACTAAGCCATGATTCAAAAAAATTAGATCAACTGGATTCACATGCCAAGCTAAATCATATATTAACTAAACGGGTGGATTTTCAATCTGCTAGCTTTTCATAACAGAACAACAGAGTTGGAAGGGACCTTGTAGGTCTTCTAATCCAACCCCCTGTTCAAGCAGGAGACTGTATATATCATTTCAAACAATGGCTGTCCAATCTCTTAAAATTACCCTGTGATGGAACACCCATAACATCTGAAGGCAAGCAATTCCGCATGTTCTCCCTGTCAGGAAATTTCTTCTTAACTCTAGATAGGTTCTCTCCTTGATTAGTTTCCATCCATTGCTTCTTTTCCTGCCTTCAGGTGCTTTGGAGAACAGATTGACCCCCTCTTCTATGTGGCTGCCCCTCAGATATTGAAACACTGCTATCATGTCATCCCTAGTCCTTCTTTTCACTAGATTAGTCATATCCAAATCCTGCAACTGTTCTTCATATATTTTATCCTCCACACCAACCCCCATCTCGATCATTCTAGTTCTCTTTTCGGCATTCTTTCCAGAGTCACAGTTTAAACATGGGGTGGGCAGTCATCTAGTGGTGATATTGAAATGATGGGGTTTTTTTTCATGGGCAGGACCACTTTGCTATAGTGGTTAATGCACCAATCTAGTAACTGAGCTATTGTGAATACTAGTCCTAACGCAAGCACTAAGTCAACTGGGTGACAGTGCACAAGTCCCTCTCTCTCAGCCCTAGGAAGTAGGCAATGGCCAACCGCTTCCAAAACCTGGACTGCAAAGACTTCTCCAGGCTTTTGCTTTGAGTCAAGACTGATTCCAGGACAGACACACTACTGGGAATAATAGTACCATGCAATAGATGATTTCCAAGGCTTCCTTCATGGATTCCATTCATGTTTACATGAAATTATTAATAGAAACATAGGTTTGGGGGGAGCTTAAATATAAAACATGACTCACCCCATGAAAAAAGCCACCAGAGAATTTCATAACAGTTTCGAGGGCTTTAATTAACTTCTGGAAGTTTTCATCGTCAGGAGCAAACTGATGTCCAAAACTCAAAGCACAGATGACATTAGAAACTGCATTTATTACTGGAAGTGATGGGTCAAATGGCTGCCCTGGAAATGAAGGTATTTTATAATGAATTTTTAAGGAACAG